AGTAAGAGTGCGTCCATTCATAGAGTAGGAGAGCCAATACCCAAATTTCTTTACTTCTGGAGCAGATGGTGCAATGCATTCAACTGCCACATACACACCATAAGGCCTACTGAAACAGTGCAATGCAAACGATAGTTTCTTCTTATATTCCCGAAGAACCAAAATCTTATCGTGAGCGATGTTCATCTGAACATCAATAGGAGTACCGCTCACAAAGGAAATAGAATTGAGTTCCTGACGATGGTCATCAACAAAGTGACTGTAAATGCCTTTGAACGTTCCAGTGTAATTGCAGTCCAATGCGGGGCATGAGCATCGAGAGAAGATGCAATCCTTTTCATGAATTGATTCTTTCCCATAAGATAAAGTTTTTGTGCATCCAAGCTTTGTGTTTTGACATGGGACGAAGACTGATTCCAACACATTTTCCATTGCTCTGCAGCGACTGTGGCCAACAGCAAAATCGCATGTAGGGCACTTATTACGCAGTTTGGGGCAACATGAAGAGCAAGTTAAATGGCCATTATCACACTGAAATACAAAACCAATGAGTTCCGATCAGAGATTTTATAACCACATATATTCAAGAAAAGAAACTTAGTAAATGATTTTCCATATTCTAGAAAGAAAAACAAAATTGTCCTTGCAGTGAATATCAACTAGCCATTAAGAGAACATGACTATGAAAAATAGAAAACAGATTAACACGCAATTCGCATTGTCAGAGTAAATAAACCCCAATGTTAGCTTTGAGATATCTCAGTTGGTAAATTTAAATATGCTTCATTGAAAGGAAAATCGATAATTCATGATATATATTCTTGATCTTGCCTAGTCATTCACACGTCTTCAAAAACTACAATTGTATATATTGAAGATGCATAGCTCTGTGAAGAAACAGCAATAATCAAACAAAGAGTTGTTCAAGTAGCAGGGAACTTGGAGTGGCGGAAAAGATATTTACTTTAGCATATTTGAAGAAGATTTAGTGAATATATAGAGAACTCTAGGTTTAGGGTTTGCGATATAGTTAGTATATAAGGTCTAAGGATTACGCTTAGGAAGGTTATCACTTAGAGCCTCATTTTGAGAGATTGTAACTTGAAGCTTTGCAAAAACAGAAGCTGTCAGGTGAGTGTTCATTCCATTGATTCACTAAGGGTGTGAGATTAGTGGGAAGGGTGGACTATTGATTCGTTGATAAGCAAACTGTCTAAGAACTGCTAGACTTGTATAGATCCATATAGGTGAATCTTGTAAAAGTTACTTATACAGAATAATAGTAGATGCGTTGGCTTGGCGCCTTCCAAGCGAAAAACAGTGTTGTGTATCGTTTCTAAACTTTCATATATGATTTTCGTCGAAAATGTTTGTATTAATCAACATATAGCTTTACAAAAAGGGAAAATAATATTTTTGTAAAACAAACACTCAATTCTCGCCAAATTTTCAAATCAACAAAAGCTAACAATTCATAGAAAGGAAATTTTAATTGTTTCTTTCACTATAGTCTATACTGTCTATACGTTTTTACCAATTATCCAAAACATTATGGAACATTCTAGTTACCGTAAAAAAAAAAAAGCTCTCTAAAATAAGAGAACTTGCAACTCAGGGAAAATCAGTTTAGAAACAAAACCTGGAAGATAGGGATAGTCAGTGGCTCGAAGCAAACGGGACAATCGAGAATATCTAGACCCACCAGCATCCCCGAGCGTGTCTTCCTCTCTGATGTCGGACTACGTTGCCTCTTTTCCGAGAGAATGTTGCTCACTCCTTCTCTTTCCAAATGTTGCAAATCCATCCTGCATAAATTATGGTCAAAATTTAATTTTCAGCGATTAAAACGATCCAAAACCAAAGTCAGAACAAACATGCAATCCTTAAAGTCCATGTCCAATTTTAATTTGTCTTAGCATCTTTACCTCACGCGAACAGAACAAAAGATTAGTGGGTTTCTCCTGAAATTGTATAATCCGAGATAGAGACAAGAAGAAGAAGTAGGGATTTAGAGTTTCCTTTTGAGAACTAGAAGACGGCTCAAGT